AATATGGGACACCGCGGATTATACTTTACAGTATAAAATTTGACTAACTTAAAATTTCATTAAATTTATATCAACATTTTAGTTTTTTTATATAAAATATAAGTGCGCATTTGACCTCCATCTCACCTTATGGAAAGTAGCTCATTAGTAACTCATTCTCATTTGAAATTTTGCACAGAGCCTCTAGATGAAGTACGTATTATTGTGAGTCCTTTAATATAACTACGCCTTTCTGTTACATCTGTATGTTTTCTACTTCTAGTTTCTATTTTGCATGTTTTTGTACGCACTTACTTACCTTGACTACAAAGGTAAGTAAGTATTTATTAATTTTAATAAAAGCATCTCGATTGATTATGGATTTTCTTATTTTTTAAAATTTATTGTTATCAGGTGATTAATGCGTGAAATCTTAACATAACATCCTGTCAAATACTGGTACACCGATCTCACTGTACCATAGTCAACTATTGGAACATTAGAAATTTTGCCTGTCATACACTGGTACAATTTTAGAGGTAGCGGAAAGCTGGAATGTATTAATAATGCCTATGATTATTTTAAATTTTATAGTTTCTGGAAGATAAATGACCTGGTAGTCAGTATGACTGATAATTAAAGTACTTTTTTGGCAAAATACGTGATATTCCGTTTAAAAGCGTCTACCACTGGGACATTTACCTTAGCAAAATATGATTATGAAGAAAAATCGTGAGCACGTTGACTTAGTTTCAGAATGTTGCAGTTTAAAACTATTCGATTTTATAAAGACATGTTGGTAAAAATATATTTTCTCATAAAATACATTTACTTCCAACCTGGACACATATTTAGCCAGCTTCAGAAGAAAGCCTTTAGATGCTACGACGACGGTGTATTAAGTTGCGCTAGTATAAATTTAACGCCAGGCAATGAGGCTTAGGAATTTTATTGTCGACTCGGATGGAGGCTGCACTCACCCGGTATAACAGCTAAATGAAGCCTGGTACTGACGTCCTAGAAGATTCAAGGGACTAATTGAATATGAAACCCTGAGGAAAAGTTTGCTTGCTTTCTTTTCATACTGTTATAATGTTAGTAAAATTATATTTCATAGGTGCATATTGAAAATTGTACAGTCTTTAGGATCTTATTATATACCTACAGGGTTATTTTTAAAATACTAATAACCTCGTAGGACTATATTACTTACATCACAAACAATGACTTTTGTTCCACATTTTTAATAATTCACTTCATTTTACTTTCATACTAAAATATAAATATTTAAATAGATCAGTCTAAACGAGTATAACTCTGTGCAAAACGCAGGAACGGTGGTGGAGGTAGTCGGGAGGACGCTTCCACGTTTGAACTTATTACCCTACTACCAGATACAGGTCTAAAAAGTGTCACATAGTACAAATAAAACTGAAAAGTTAAAATTATCTGCCTCTGTGGCCGACTGGCTACGCAGAGGTTTCGGCTCCGATTCCCGGGTCGGGTGAAATATTTCTACGACCTACATTTATTTCTCTCGTGAGTTTGGGTGTAGTATGTGTGTGTCCATGGCACACGTAATGGAGGGTTTCCCTAGTGCGGGGTTATGAGTGTGTGCGTTATTATTATTATTATTATTACCCAGCAGACTTGTTATTGAAAATATACCTAAAACTTCACTCTACTTAGAAAGTTCATATGTAGCCACAGACCTTATTATGTAGCGCATGAAAGTTTATAATAGACTACCAATTGAAATTAAAAATGTGACATTTAAAAGAATGACAACTGAACTGTATAAATATCTAGATAGAAAAGGATATTATAGTGTAAATAACTACTTAGAAGATTAAATTTTGCATGCTTTTGTATAATGGCTGAATAGATGAACTCAAGTGTAATTATTACCATCCTGTAATAACCTATTCAATGCAATTAAACCTTATTTCATTCATATTATGATTATTAAAGTTTAATATTTAAGTGTAATTAAATAGGCTATTTAAAAAGCCGTGATAGTCTAATGGTTTGATCTAACACCTTTCAAGCCGAGAGTCTTGGGTTAGAATCAGTTTTCACATCTAAGTGTTGCGACAAATTCAAATTTTTACCATAGGCTTTTCAGCGAAGAAAAACATAATGAAGAAACCTGCACACATCGCCAAAGTAATTTAAGCGGGCTCGCGTGAGTACAACAGGACACGCTCTCTCATAATGGCTAACTATTATTATTACTAAATGGGGTATTAATATTGTCATAGGTAGAGTTAAATAAGTAACTGCCGTAATTACTGTTTCATAACCCCAGTCTCAGGTGTAAGATGGAGTCAGCTCAATTATGCCAGTGTACCAAAAAAGTCGTTGTCTTATTAAAGAAAGAAGCCATTAAACACCATAGCTATCTTCACCGTGCCCATCCATAATAAATTGCGTTATTAGAACCAACGTAATCCACGGTTAACTAACATAAATGCGCAACGTCGCTCGCCCGCAGTTTGTTTAGATTAAACAAGCCTTAACTGATATTAACATAACAACAAGCGTATTTTTATAGTGAGAATATTAAATTAATTTTCGCTAACAGTGAGTTAATTAAATCAGACACACTAAAATGTAACAACATTACATTAAAATTTCAGATTTACATTCAGATACAACGAACATAACATAACTTGCATAAAAAAATATATCAGCGCCTAACCAATTAACTTCAGCAATTAATCTTTGAAGCAACATTTCCGCTCATAATCGCCAACATTTTCTTCTCTGACAAAGAGTATGAGTTACAGGTAAATGAGAATTATGTGCGTATGACGCTTTAAATTGGAATTATAGATAGATATATTTGCGATAATGATCCCAAACTCGCTAAGCATAAGAATCACAGGCAAGTACCGATCAAAGAATGATTCTAAGAACGACGTTGAAATCTCCTCTAATTGGCTTAATCCGTCTCTCTTCTTGTACAAGTACTCGACGCACTCGTGCGCGATTTTCAATCGCAAGACTTACATTAAAATGTATCTGTGTTTCTATCGCAACATAATTTTCGGTCAGCCATTACAAAGCAAGTTACAACGTACGAAGTATGAACTTTACTCCGTTGGCCACTGCAAGGTTAAGGAGAGTAGGTACTCTGTTGAACATTGCATTATAAAAACTGAAATGTCTTCTAGTTTTGTGGGTGTCTATCTGGTCGGCATAATAATTTCCTTATGATTATTTTTTTATCATTAATCGAGAAAGCAAGTGCAAAACAACAATTAAGGAGTTGAACCCGTCAACCGGCAACTTAGTGCTGATAACTCACAAGTAATTAAAAACAAAGTTACGTGTAAATTTTATTACTAAAAAGTACAATCCCAACAAGGTGGACGATTAGAATTGCTTTTAAACCCCTACAACAATCTTACGAGCAATTATCCTTAAAATAATATCAGGATCTTGTCACAAGGAAAAAAAGTGCTTTTACATCAATACTCTACAACTTACTTAGTTATGAAACTTAAATTACCAATGTATTAAATGTAGACTGCTAATATGATTCATAGATCTTCGTTTAAATATAATTTTTTACTTGTACCTGATATTCAACCTAAACAAACTTCCTTATCGCTTCCAAGTCCCCAAATCCAAAATAATGTCGCCGACAATTCTATAGATTAGATTCGATCCCAAAACTTTAGCTGAAGTCCGATACGTGCGACGTACCTTCGTAGCGGTCATTGAAGATCGAAGACGCGACAAAGACGTCTGCGAAAGACTTGGAACACTTTGACAGGTGATTTGGGTTCCTGCTTCCCGCCCGCCGACCACTTCCTGAACCACGATATCTATTGACTACTCTGTATTGACACACGTTGTAAATAGACAATAGGGAATCACTGTTCGGGATAGTTAGACTTAGGATAGTTTGCTTTGTTATTATCTCTTTAGATGTATTAAACTTATAGACCTGCCATCGATACAGCAGCGGCTATTGACGTCTATTTACTTCAATTTATTATTGCTAGAGATCTTATACACGCCCGATTACATTGGTACACTGTGATTTTCTCCTGGAATGGAGTTCTGTGTCACTTCACCACCAAAAAAGCCGTGGTAGTCTAATGGTTTCAAATTGTGGGTTCGAATCCAGGCTCTGACATCTAAGTTGTTTGAATTTATGAGCGTAATTTACCACGAGTTTTCCGGTGAAACCTGCACTTCGAAGAAGGTTCACAACCCTTGGAAAACGTACGAAGACCCCAAACCGCATTGAACCAGTGTGACGGACTATAATATGGCCTAAACCCTCGTCTGATAGAAGACCCGTGCACAGCAGTGGGATGCATGTTGGACGTGATTTGATGATGATGATGAATTCATCAAATTAGTATAGTGCAATTTGGCAGTTCACTTGTACAATATATTAAAAAAAAACAAATTTTATTGGAACATTTTTCTTTGGAGTTTAAATTAAAGGTAGAAGGCACGGATTTTGTGTGATCTGTAGTAAAAGGATTTAATGGGAAAAAAAAACGGATTTTTGTTATTACGATAATTATATTCAATTAATTTTTCGTTTATATAATTGAATGGAATAAACATTTAGCCGATATCTAAGCAATAAATGCTTAATTGTTCGTGACCCTAGTGACGTTATTATAATAATCTTAAAACTTTAATAGTATTTACAATATTTGGAAAGTCATCACAGCATCACAAAACAAGCATAACATGGAAACAACAAAACATTCGATGTTACAACTAGTAATGTTTCAAATGCTAAAAACTATAAAAACAAGGATTGTTTGATGTGGTAAAAACAGCCTTCTTTGTAAATAAATGCGGTAAATACTGTGGCTTGCTGCAAAAGTATGTTTTAATGCGATGTCTCTAAACAAATACTGATAGTACTGGATCAACTAAGAATAAATTTTCTTAATCTCACATGAAATCCCAAATCTTACAGTTTTATTCAATATATATTTAAAAAAAAAACCTATTCCAGAATACATTTTTATTTTTGATTACCTCAAAGTTTTACTTCTTGCACATTGCATTATTTCATTATAACATAACATCGACTTTTCTAACAAATGTATAAAACTCAGATGAAAATGCACAGCGAAAAAACCAAGTAGAAATTCGACAGTTCAAAAAGAAAATTCGGCAATAATTTGTTTCAATAGTGAAATTTCTTAACACGGCAATCTTACCGTTAAAACAAATTATTTTCTTTACTATTCACACAAATTATTTGCTGGTTTATAAGGGAAGAACAAAAATAAGAATTTACTCGGACACCGCATCATTTGATTGTAATAAAAATAAATTGTATCTTACATTTTTAAATAATAAACACTAACCAAGGACCGAGGAAGCAATATTGTAACAATGTAAAGGAATGTGCGTATACTGTATTATCCTTTTAAGGTATGTTACATATACATGGTATAAATGTACATATTTCGAACCGCAGACATATAGACCACTTACAATAAAGAGTAAACAATTGGAAAATTACTTCGTGCTCAAGCAAAAAAATACTGTATATTCGAAAATTCACAAAGAAGCAAGTTATCCACTGTTTGTTACTTACTCTGTATTTACTAAATTATAGGCCAAGAACCTATTTCTTCAGCTACCAATATCATCTATTACTAAATGACTGACATTATCTAAATTTTTACATAATAACGTTGAATACGATGCTAAAGTTTTACTTTGCCTACTTTACCTATACTTAAGTTACTATTAAATGGAACTTTTGGTGAGAGTTTCCCTTTACGATCATCAATAATTTCAACAGATTTTTAACTAAACTACTACAGGCAATAAATAAAATTGAATCAATAATTACCTATATACAAATACGGGAGTAATATTCTGAGATTCATTCACAAACAGATGTTATGTGTCTTTTAATAGGATAATATCATAAATTTTGTACAACTACTTATATTTACAAGGATACGATGTGATCGTTTCTTTAATAATAAATGGTACTATGATCATTATGCTTACAATAACATCAGTTTTGAGATGCATTTATAAAGCTAATCTATGTGAACTACAATCGTAACAATAAGAGTCCTGAATAATACGAAATGATTAAATTTGAAACGTCGTCTTTAATACTAACATGGCACTTAACACCATTAATATGATTCCAGATCAGTCTTTCGTGTTGATTTGCCGACATCACAAACACTATTAATTTTTGACGAACTACTGGCGTCCAAATAATTTAATTCACACCAATTTTCTCTCGGCAATCGCGTGTGGATGTCCAGGATGGGAGTAGTGGCCAGGTGACGACGGCTCGTACAGAGTCATTTTCAACCTCTTACATTTCGCCCTTCGGTTCTTGAACCAGAACTGAACGTTTTTAGACTCAAGCCTTGGGAACTTCTGTCTGTAGGGCATTTTGTTCAACTCTTCTGTATATTTCAGTATCAAATTATGTGAGGGGTGCGTATTCATGGAAAACCATTGCTCAAGAACTGGCACTTCAGAGACGGGATCAATGAATGTACGGTTACGCTTGCGACGCTCATCTGAAGCTCCTGCAAGTGCGAGATTCAGGCCACTTGCTCCCTCGCCAGGTACAGGCCCTACTCCTGGAAACGCGCTCATGTATCGACTCATGTACATGATACCATGCCCAAACATTGGATGGTTTGTGACCATGGGAAATGGCAAACTATCAAGATGTGGAGAACTCTGACGATAGTGTCTCTCCTGAATGACATCATCGTCAGATGCGTTGTCATGTTCTTCGTTGATACCGTTTTCATCTTCATTATTATTGTTGTTATTGTTATTATTATGTGGGGAGCTGTTACTGTTTTTTGTTGGTGAACGTTGCGGGGAGATCGATGGTTCTGGTTTGCTTAAATCTCTGGGCTCTTGTTTGATGTCATGTACCTGAAAACAATGTACTCTCATTATTATTGACACAAAGATCGAACAACACAAACAAAATATCCTTCCATCTGACTGGATCACCATCTGAGCTACGGTTACGGTGTATAAAAAACATTAATACAGTAATTGTGGTTCAATTGTTTTTATGAAATAAAATATAAAATATTGTACCTTTAATGTTTCTGACTGCTTTGGTGATTCTTGTGGTACATCTTCCGGATTATTGTTGGCCTTCTTTGTAGTGATCAACGAGAGTGGTGCATCAGGACTTTCTGGCCTGTCGTCGTTGTTTAGATCGCCTCCATCATCATCCAGATCAGATCCAGCATTTGAGAGGTTATCCTCAGACATCACGGACATAGGGTATCTATTGGGACTAAGTTGCAACGGGCTTTTCATTGAGCTGTGATCTTGAGAAGCATAGCTGTCATTTCCAACCATTAGAGAACCATTGGTTGGACTGTGACTCCTGCTGTTAAACCCGTTCATTCCTAGATGGCCTAGTCCACCTATATTACGTAACTCGGCACGCTTTTGAGCAGCGCGGGCATTTTTAAACCAATACACGACATTATTAACGTCTAACGGTTTACGACCGCGCCGCGACTCCAAGTTGTTCAACTCTCGCACGTACTGCTGAATTTGCTGCCTGCTTGGGTGCTGGTTCTCAGCAAACCATCGTTGTAATTTCGGTAGTTCTAGTTCCGGGTCGAAACTTGTTCGCATTCTAGTTTTCTGTGTAGGATACTGACTTTGAACTGTTTGTAGTGCTGGATGTAAATGATCCGGTATTGAATTAAGAGTAGGCGATCGGTTCTTTGGGCCCGGTGATGGATAACGTCGAGGGCTAAAAGGTGGCGGCCGAGGTGACACCTGTGCACTCCACCAGGACTCAAACTTGCGGCGCATTTCTTCTGATGGTTCATGGAAACTATGAGGCCCCGCTGTCCTGTCCTGTCCTCGGCATATTTGCGCCAATGTCACCTGTAACAAAAACCGGGTCTTAAAGCTAAAGCCACGCATAAGTAGCTTAAAGTGAAAATAAAAAGCAAGGTAGCAAACAATTTTAGAAGGTTTTAAAGAGGTCAGTCTAACCAGTTACAGATATGGAGATAATTGTTTGAATAAACAGCGAGCATTGTTTCACAGAACATCGCCATTAGATTATGAAAATATTAGGTCGGCTGTTGTTAATGTATGTGTCATGCGCGAGCGGCCGACGAGGCTCTGAGGAGAAGTGTTTACTCGTTGTTTAGTGCGCATCACTCCCGTGCTCGCACCGCCAAACTTCAATCATGGCCAGCTCTAAAACAATGAGCGGGAAGGGCATCTTTACAATTAGCATCCACCCACTTTATGTATAAGCGCCAGCAGAGGAATGCCGATGTGGACTAAGTGGTACGACTAAAATGTTTTGACGGTAATTCGATTAGAAACCTTCTTTCGACGCCACGTTAGCAAGTATCACCTCGAAATATTTCCATTTCAGTACCTTGTTTATATTACACAATTATTTATTCAGAACGATAAGGTTAATGTATATTTAGACAGGTATTTAATCGCACAGCAAGTAGTCAATCATAAAGAACCTGTCAGATTAAAGCAACAACTGTGAGTTTACCCAGCTTGACAGTTATGCAAGTAAGATCTGCGCTATCGCGAGATTACACAGAACAATGCCGGTGATTACGTCGTCAAGCCAGTTGTCAGAGTTGCTAAATCAAACGTTAAATTAAACGTAAGTATTACACATCCAGATTGCGCCTATAAATCATGTCAGCGAAGAGCATTAGGGACGTGTTCGTGTGATACGTTAATCCGCCTCTTTGTTTTATATTTTTAAATAGTGGTGCCATATTTGCTTTCAGATATTGTGAGCTTCAGGTACATGGAAGATTTACATGAGCTGGCGCCTGCGCGTGATAATTCTGTCACGTGTAATCCGCCTAAGTACGTAATTCGGTGTGTGATTGCGAACATTTCTTGATATACTCGTAGATAGAAAAGACTACTTAGAACACAATAGGCTTAGTTTTATCTGATATTTCGTGGTGTGTACTTGCGCTACTTACGCGCTTGAAGGACCGATTATATTTTAATGTGTATTAAAGATCTCAATTATATAAGATTCTGATAAAGTTTTGAAGAAGTCTTAAAGAAGATTTATGGTTTTAAATTGATCCTTCATTAACCTTCCTGCGAAGACTCTTTCGATAAAATATTCCCGCAGCGTCTATAAAAGTTTGTTCCGAGTTGAAATCGAAGTGGAGCAAATTGGCGTGCGATAAATTACCATAATATCATAGCGCCGAGTTCATCTGGCGTTTAGCTACTAACTTCGGCATCGGAAGGTGTTTGATTATCTAGCCGGTCGAGAATTCCTTTGGCTCATTTGCGCGAACTTTGTCAAGAGTTGCAACTCCAATTTGTACGCTTCAGATAAGTTTTGACTTTCATTGGTAACTTTTATCAGCCAATTTTGAGTTTATAACGGATCATTTATTTCACTGTGGGAGTAGTGGCAAGAGTTGTAATACGAAATTGTACAGGCACGGACTGTGTGACGGAACGTCAAATTGAAATCGCGGCCCTGTCGGGTTAAGCCTCGAGAGGGGCGCGCATCGAGCGCTAACCTCGCGTTTAATAAGATTATAAAGCATTATTTTATGGTATTAATAAGATCAAAAGCGTTCGTACATCTAAAACTCCTTTTAACCCTCTTTCACTGAGGCTCAAGTTGGTAAGACGAGGGAACCCCCCACTCTCCCTAACCCGTTCGCAACAAGGTGAATATTTAGAAAATATAATAAGGCTGTGCGAGGCGCGGATGAGACTGAGATTCAATTAAATTTATTATGTATGGAGATCCCACGTGTGAGGCAGGTGCTCATCGTTTAGACAAATTGTTGTATCTATTATCGAGATAGATATTTCCAACTTAAAACATAATATAATACCGAGTCTTCGTTTTTTGCATATACCGTTTCTAATATACAGGAAATAAAGTAAAGTAGCCTTTACAAGAAAATAAGGCCTTCATCTATTGCATTATACTTAAGCATGGTCAATATTTGAATAGTAATAGTAATAGTGTGAAATATTCCCGAAATATCGTAGTACCAGAAAAAATCACGGTGTATATTAGACTCTTGATCGAAATATCACCACGCATAAACAGAACAATCATCTTCCTAATAAGCACAAAGAATTTCCTCAAATTTCTATTAAATGTCTCGGAAATGCCGCGAACATCAAAACAAATGCTCCCTTAATTCTTACGATGATCCTTATTAGCAAGGACTTAACCTCGCTGTATGTTTGTTTGTAACAACCTCTCCTACTTAACAAGAGTTTAGTAATCCGTCTTCATTATTTGTAACTTCTTCAAGCTCTTTGTTTTTATGTAAATTTTTCTGTTCAAATTTCCTGAGATCACTTTCCTTCTAACAAAATGCATTAGATAGCAGTGATATGTTGAGAAATATTTAAGAGTTGCTTGGCATAATAATGTAATTAGTTACGTCATCTTTTCAATATCCTTTGGGAATCAGATAAACAAATTTATATCAATAAGTACATTCATGTAAGTGTTGCTTATAATCTATAATTTATTAGAAACAAGTAAAAATTTATTAAATACTTAATACAATGCAATTCCAAAACCTATAAATATTTTCAATTGAAAGCACAGTTTCAAAGAGCGAGCTTAAAAGCGGAAGACAATGGGTCCCACGTTAATAAGGGGTAAGGTTTAGACTAGAGGGCGCATTGTGTAGCACTCGGGGTTACGTCTCGCGGTATTAAAGAACATTGCCGTGTGCCAAATTTAATTCGACCTTTGAAATCAAACTAAATCTTCCTCTCTCATGTCCTATCGGAAAACCACTCTATCTCTTCTAATACACAATGGAGATCTAGATCCAGTAGTAGTAGTAGAGTAGTAGCTGTATTTATTATTGCCTGAAATTGGTTTAAAATCACAAAGATGTACTATAAACTTTAATTGCATCTGCGTTAAGAGAGACTAATGGTAGTCCCGTAGATTTGGCGAGGGGTCTACATAAATTGTTGCCATAAGTATAACATTGTGAGTTGGTTTAGCTCAGTGTAGCGAACTCGCTTTGTCGCTGAACAGGATTCAGATGATTGTAATGCGAAATCTCTGATGTGATTCAGCTTGACATGTTTTGCGGAGTGTAAAGGATTGATTTTGTTTTATTCTCTTACCTGGACCATCAGGCCTATGAATAGCTACGTATTTAAACACTTCGTATCAATCAAATGTATCACTTTGCTTGAGCTGTCAGACAGTTCATAATTTTTCGAACATCTACAGATTTCGTAAATGACAATTCTGTAGAAATATCTTCTAGAAGTAATCATCAAGAACTTTGTAGAGCAGATACTATCGAAATTAAATACTTTTAAAATATCTCTGAACTGAACAATTTACTACATTATACGGATAACCGCTTTGCGATGATGTAGAGAAATGTTACATAATCAATATGAAATAAAGTGAGAGTTAACCTCCTAAGGCCCCATGTACACACGCCAGCACATCAAGCTACACATTGACGTATCTTGTTCCGTTGCAACGGAGGCGATTTTCGAACAAAAATATGTAGTCTGATGTGCCGTTGTCCGTAAATCAAAATGTACACATGCATGTCAAGCGATTCAAACTCAGACAATTTTATTCCTATGATCACGTAAATGCCCGGTGTACATTATAACGAAAATATCGCATTAAAATTTAGGGTTATATATTCCACATGACCGGACGGTATTTAGAAAAACACGTGTTTCGTACAATTCTTGCATGACATGACATATTCAGTACATTGAGTATTTAGCGCTTTTCCCATTGTAGTTTGTGGAATCGTAAGAGGTTAAAATAATGATGAATATAATGAAAAGAAACAAGAAAATTACTCACTTCATCCAAAGGGCATCCAGTGGACATCAAAAGAGGCCTGCTCTGTACCAATAGAAGTCTTAACAGTTTATCCTTTATGTCTTGAAGGGGAGTAGGTCGAGGCCTCAACAGCTGGATCCTGAGTGTGACCACAGTCGTCAATTCACCAAGGACTTCGCCTACCGTTGCCCTGGGCCCATCGGAGATCTTCTCGAAAGGTAGCGGCTTCCAGTTATTTAGGACTACTGATCCTGATGGCAAACACATTAGGACTATACCTTTATCGATTATTGTGAAAGTGAAAGAAATGGACAAAAAATATAATTTTGGCTGATTAACAAAAATTGTATACTTAAATGCTTTGTTTACCTTTAGCAGAAGCAGCAAGTTCATGAGGGTACCCAAGCCTTAGCATGGCAGCAGGCACTAGGTCCTGAAACGCGGTGGCAGATGGAATAATGACGTAGCTGTCAGTTTCCACTACCGCTCGTCGACGCCACACGTCTTCTTCTAGTGAAGACACTGCTTCTACCACGCAATGTACGGGCAAGGTTTTGCCTAAAACAATAAAAAACAAACCGTTACCAAAATCAGCTTTAAATATCACGTTATTTATATAAAAGTGTACACTCTGTGGTTTAGATGTCTACAGGTTTTTGAAAAGGACCACCTTTTAGAGAAAAAAAATGTTTTAAAAGAACAAAATCACCGACATTGGCACATATTTGCCGTTGTTATAAGAATAAACGCTGAAAGTGATTACTACAACACCCTTTTTAAAATTATTTCAATATGTTCAAACATACTTTCGTTGGTTCTTAATATAAAAAAATCATATTGATAATATGTTCGTAAAATTAAAACTGGATTTAATACGAAGGCAGGAACTATTTATAATTCATAATCCACGAACATAATATTTGGCTCTGAACTGGTTGATCTAAGTACATTCAGCAAGTTATGTATCCATTTAATTGTGTTACAGTATTAAAACCTACTAAATAGCTGGTGGACACAAAATTGTTTCGAAAAATGCTGCCATTGGCTGAAAAATCAGCTACTTAAGAGGCACTTGTCGAAGCACTCACTGTCGCTAAGAAAGCGCCTTAATTCTTTAGCAACTTTTCAAGCGAGAAAGCAATGCTTTTGACTTGTTCGCGGCAAAAAAGCGAGTGAAACGTTAAAATAATAATTAATCCTTGTCTCGCGAAGACTCCACCAGCTCAGTGATCACTTTGTGCCTTTTACTGGCCGTCTTTGTAGACGGTTCTTTAGCACGATATTAAATAGTTTTTGCTGCCCGCTGCTTTTTCCCTGTACAAGTGCGCAGAATATTTATTGAAATATTTTCAGACGCTATGGTACAAACAGTTACCCATTAGTTACAAATATATTATTTGAACATGTTAAGTACCCACAGAGAACATACGTTTCAATGAAAATCACATTATTAATACGAAGTTAGAGCGTATTTTGGAATCAATAGAAAACAATAGGTGTCTCGTAACCCGCCCACCGGCTATTGAATTTATATGATACTATCCGGGAGTTCGGTTCAACAAAACACTATGGGAAATTATAAATTTCGCGGCATAATCTCTTAAATACCCATGGTTAAAATAGCTCGAAATTTCGGGTGTTGGTAATCGCTGTAAGTAACTTTCAATAGTTTTGTTGTAAGTTTGTTTGCGTAAGAGTATTTGTGGGTAGTTTCAGGTTAGCACCTATGGCTTTAATATAGAGCACGGATTATTTGAGGTTTAGTCGCGCCGCGGCTGCCGCCGAGGTCGGACCTTTGGTCAGTTTAATCCCTCGGATATGAAACTAGAAACCTTGGACTTAATATTGTTAACCTTAGGGAATAACCCAGTATTATTCTATTTACATTTAGTTGGCTTGGGAAACTTTATATAGCTATATGCTATTTTGAGACCAAGTCCCCTAAATTGTTACCCGTATCAACCTACTGTTGTCCTACAGCTGGGCAGGGGTTGCTTCAGGGTAAAATCTATCATATCAGGTTGTGGTAATGTAACAATTGTCATCTGGAATTTATTCTTGACAATTATTATGTGAGTTTTACCGTTTATAGTCGTTTAACGGTTTTTTATATAGGCGGTAAGTCACCGCTTCTGAAGCAGAGGCTGTGGGTTCGCATCTCTGAGTTATTTGAAATTTATGTACGAAATTTAATTTAAAATTCACAATGATTTTCGATGAAAGAAAACATTGCGATGAACATGGAAAAAGATTCACAACCCTCGAAAAACGAATGAAGTCCCCAACCGGCATTAGGCCAGAGTGGTGGACTATGGCCTTAACCCTCCGCTAAGAGGAGATCCGTGTCTAGTAATATACATTGTGTTCTTGATAAACTAGCATTCGAGCTCGAATTTTTGCAATATAGATGGTAAAGTCATGTTCATTGTATCATAAACGATGCATTTTTGCATGAATGTCCTATATACAACAACTACTTTAAAACATACCCTTGAAAGTGCGTTTTTATAAGCCTGGAAAAGACGTCCATAAGAGTTAAGGTTAAATAGACCTTGTAGCTCAATTGGACGCGTCTCTCTCAATAAGTGATAAATACCTACTAATTTACTATTTCACCACACTGATTTCCTATCTATATATCTATATATATGCCAGCGTGTCTGGCAAATAATAATACACACTCAAAATAAACCCAGTATCGTGGGTGCCATGGACAAACACATAGACAACCAGAAATTACACCCAAACTCACGAGAGAAATACATGTAGTCCCTACAAATATTTCTCCCGGCCCGGGAATCGAATCCAGGACCTCTGCGTCGAAGCTCAGCATGGTAATCGTTCGGCCACAGAGGCAGTTAATGATAGTCTTTTTGCTAAATCTTTAGTTCTGTTTATTTAATATATTGTTTTTCTCACTTTTCGACTTCTTAGGTTTTCGCGACTGCTACACATTTTTTGTTTTTTGTTTTTATGATACAAAGTGATGGGACAAGCAAGTCGTGCGCTTCATCTATCCATAACAGTTACGGTGCCACTCAGAGCTTTAAATCTCAAAGATCTGAGAGGCACAGCCGTGGCGCACGTCACTTTGAGATATAAGTTGAAAAGTTCACTGTGCCTGTAATTTCACCAATCACATTAGCAATGAAAATTTTTTTTCATAGATATGAAAAATAATCACGTATATATGGTTTTAAAACAAATTAACGTTTCGGGTTCTTTACAGGTCTAATGGTCACGACTGACTTAGATGGTGAAATCATCATCAAGTTACTAGCAGTAAAGTTCCTTGTGAAAGAGTTCGTCCAGGGAAGTAATGCCACCTTACCCCATTTTGCCGCCAAGCAGTTTTGAGGGTTACAGTTGGTGGTGAAATTACGGGCACGTGGGACTTCTCAACTTTTCTCAACAGATCTTTACGATATAAAGCTCTGAGTGGCACTACAACTGTCTGTTACCACCAGGAACACGATTTGTTCGTCCCGTCTCTTGTTATGATGAAAGAAAACCCTATTCTAGACTATACTACAGTTACCTACAAAAGTCAATAATTTAAAATCCGGATCTGAACAATTTATTGCCAATTAGTGAAAATTTAATCTGTTATCAAATAGAGGTAACTTATTTACGATTTTATTTTTTGTAAGTAATCGATTAACTTAAGTCCTAAATTAATAACTGTAAAATATTGACCACAAATTTAAAAAAAATGCAATAGAAATGGCATCTGCAACCCTCAATTACCAATCACTGCAATATTTTATAAGTAGACCGAAGTGATTGTGTATTGTTCCTGGCTACTTATAATGTAACTTTTCTAAACAAAAAAGCTTAACGTCTTTTCTAAACGAGGTTAAGACAAAGTTATTGGACATTTTGTTCACGAACCATAACTATTTTGAGGCGCGAACATAAACCCAGTGAGGTACCTACTAACCAGACCATGATCGCTAATCTCCAACCAAGAACTTGTTCCGCAAATTGAGACTAAGGCACTTAGTTAAGCGCATCGTTCATTAGCGGAACATAAAATAGCAATTAGGTGAACGGAGAGACAGCGGGCGCGGGTGCGGAGGCGGGAGCGGAAACTCCTTAAGCTTTAGCCGATCTGAGCGCTCTTGAAAAGAGTTCCAAGTTTACAAAGGGGATGTCAAGAGCTCGTGAGTGTAAGTAGAGTGAATTAAAACTTCGTACTAACAGGAATTAAGCTGTACGAGAAGCGATGGGTTTTATATCTTTAAGACCGTTTGAAAAGTTGTTAGTGTATTGAGATTGCAAAAAAATCTGCCAGGCGCTCATAAGCTACTGTATTCGCAGTTACTAACAATTATCTACATATTAAAACTGTATAAATAGTCATGGTACGGTAGTCTAACGGTTTGACCTACCGCCTCTCAAGCAGAGGGTCGTGGGTTTGAATAGGGGCTTGCACTTGTATCTCTGAATTTTTCGAAATTTGTATGCAAAATTTACCATGAACTCTTTTTTGTTGCCATTTTTCGGTGAAGGAAAACATCGTGGGGCTACCTGCACACATCTGCAATGGAAGTAAAAAGCAAGCCAAAAAAACTATAAAGCGTTATCTTATTCTCGATCAATACAGAACTTGGGATGATGTCTGCTCATAGAAGAAGCATGCGTTAATATAATTAGATATTAGATAATAGTAATTACCTAAAAACAAATTGTAATACGTGTAGGTTGAAATGGGAATTTAACTAAAGTGCTAAAACCTTATTTCTAAAGATTATAAGTTTAGAATAGTAAGCAAAACAATTATTTGTACTTTTATATACAAATACACAGTTTAAATTTTATTATTATGTTTTTTAATGTGTATGAAATACGCTCACTCGGCTTGTAGTCTAAGCCCTCTCACTGAAAGAGGAGGCCTGTGCCCAGCAGTGGGACTATATTAACTTAAAAAAGTCTTAGGGTCGTATTCCAGAACTCTACTCAATACTCAAGTCAGGACTTGAGTATTGCAATGAGCAGTGAAAATCATACTCAAGTCCTTGCCATTAGGATCGTATTTCCAGTGCTTGAAATCATACTCAAGTCTGCTCGTGATTTGAAAAATCTTCTTCGTGTCGATGAAAAATCGATCTTGATCGTGAAAAAATCAACTTCTTTCTTTGTTTCATTAATAACAATCTGTATAATTTATTAGCAATTCACAAGTTTGAAACATTTAAAAACCACACTAAGCAAAATAAGAACTTGTAGAGACTTAAACGGCGAGAAGATACAGGCTTAGCGGATATGTTCGGATTCATTGTCGTTGCTTTCGTAGAAGCTTACTCCCGTAACTAGTTAAATGTGGTATACTTACGGTACACGGGTGTAGTAGCAAATATTATACGAAAGACAGAATATATGTATATGGAAAATGTTAAAAAGGAACATATCGCACCGTGGATGTAATAAGGCTACATCTGCAAAATGACAACTTTTCAAGAGAAGAGGTTTAAAGATTCTACACACGAAATTATTAGATTTTTTTTACAGTTAAACAAAAAGGTTATAAAATTTCACATATTTTGCATAATTTGTTT